TGAGTGGAGGCTGCTTGTGGGGATGTCTGCATAGGGGTGACTGCTTGTTGTGTTGCATTTTGGACTCTAGTGGGGGGAAAGTGGCGATATGGGGGGATAGGGGCTAATGTTAGGGGTAAGGTGACTATAAATGGAGGATATGGACTATTGTGGGGTGGACAATGGTTGGCTATAGTGGGAGATGGGGGCTATAGTGGGAGATAGGAGCTGTAGTGGGGGATAGTGGATATAGTGGGGAATAGGGATTACAATGGGAAGGATAGTGGCTATAGTAAGGGAATAGGGGGAGTATAGTGACTGTAGTGTGGAAATATGGCTGTAGTGTAGGGATAGGTGCTTTAGTGGAGAGATAAGGGCTGTAGTGGAGGTATAGTAAACATAGTGTGGAAACTTATTTTTTGTACTGGGGGACAATGGCTGTAGTGGGGGTATAGTAAACATAGTGTGGGAACTTCTTTGTTGGAAAAAAAACCCCAACTAAAATAAGGTGTATTTCCACCTCCCTGAGTCTTACCTTGGGCCAGGGGGTGCAGACAGCTCCTTCCGGGTGGCGCCTGGAAATGTATCAGAACATTGCCATGGTAACTGGCAGCAACGCTCTGATACAGTGCTGGTGAGAGAGACCAATTACGGTCTCTCCATTAGAGCGCTGGCCCTGCAGGCACCACAGCAGGAGAATGGGCTGATTGATGAGGGAGATTCCCCACCAGTCATGGTTGATTTCCCCACCAGGCCATGGCCACGGTGGCCTTGTGAGATATCCGACCCTGAGCAACGTGACCTGTTAGACATTGATGTGGCAGATGAGCTTACACTTTAGTGCATTGCGGTGGCTACTAAAACTCTGCAATTTATATGTATATTGGGATTTTTTATATTGCACCGATTACTTACAGCATTTTTTTTGCTTCGACATATGGTACGGATTGATAATATAGCCGTTGCTGTCGCCTGGATTATTGGGAGTTTGAGTGCCGGGATAGGTTCAATCCTTTCTTACATTGATAATTGCATGTAGCTTTTATTCCCAAGACCATTAAATAATTGGATAATATTTTTCTACCCCCCGAAGTTCTGCTATTTGTATACAAAATAATAATAAAAAATAGTAGTATTAACATCCCAAATCACTTTTCTTTGTGCAAGATGCCAGGAGAATCTCAGCAAATATTAAGTCGAAGTTGTAACGATTGATTATTGATCACTGCCCTTATCACTGAACACTCCAAAGTTGTAACGATTGATTATTGATCACTGCCCTTATCACCGATTGATTATTGATCACTGCCCTTATCACCGAACACTCCAAAGTTGTAATGATTGATTATTGATCACGGCCCTTATCACTGAACACTCGGGTTTGTTCAGCAAACAGAGACTTGAAGAGGTGAATCACAAACATGAGATTCAGACATAAAGACCTTGATTAATAAAATTCCTGGTAGGGTGCTGAATACTCCTCTCATCTTATCTTGGTCTGGAAGGTAAAGTTAACAAGTCCTTATCTTGACCCCTGGTGGAAAATCAATTGGACGAAGGATTTACTACATTCTGCCATAAAGCAATCAGGCCAGTGAAGCTTGAGGCAGGGGGTAGAGGCAACTAATCACATGATCACCTACAATGGGGCGCTCCAGCTCAGCAGGTGAAATAGGTTTAATGTTACAGGAAGGCAGATTTTAAAACGCACTCACAGGATTATTTACTAAAGTGAGAATTGTCAGGAATACGAATCAAAATTTTAAATGTTATGACCAAAAAAAAAAAAATCTAGATTGAAGACTTGGATTTATTTTTTCCTGTTGAGTTATTTTTACGTAACATTTGAAATTAACTTTGAATTCTCTTTATATTCCTGAAAATTTACTTTTTAGTGAAAAACACAGACTGCATTTAATGCTAATTTTTTTCCCCGTCTATTAAATTAGTCATTTTAGGACGTCCACTTTAACATTACAGCTTTCTTTGAAGTAGACAAATAAAACCTGGATGTGACGGGGCCATCAGTGCCGCCATTCCTGCCATGTGGTTCCATCGCTGTGCGATAACCCGGCTGCGTTGCGAGGAGCTGTAAGAAAGAGCTTTTCTTTAGAGTGTTTGCCGTACCGGATGGAATGGAGCAGACTTGAGGTCTTGTAGACAAGATATAAAGTGAGTTTGCTGCCAAGTCTTATCAATCAGCTTTCCGACTGATCTCAGAGTCTTATCAGAGCTTTTATTTATTATATTCCAGTGGGATTTCTCTTTCTTCGTAATATCTCTGGCTCTTTTTAAACCACATAATGATTTTTAGATATTTGGTTATTTCTTTTATCAAAAACACCACAGCAGATGAAGGGCTGAAAATATATATTTCATTCCAGATGGAAGTTTTATTCGCAAGTTAGAATAGTGTGAGGATGTTGATCACAATACGTTTTGGTGCATCATCAAATGAAATAAAACTATTTAAACTCATAATGATCCCATAATAGCACTAAAGTCCTCATGCCATATTTAAAAAATCCTCATTGTGTGATTCTCTGGAGTATGGGAGAGAAAATGTAATTCAATATCTGTATAATGCACGTGTCACAAAATCAGCAACTATTGCAACCCGACAAATTGGAGACATCTAAATCAGGGTTAGGGCAAAGCCTTAAACTGTTAAACGTAAGGGGAGACTCCAGGCTGGGTATAACAACCATTATGTAATATGTAGATAGCAAAGGCTAACAAATAATGGTTTTGTTTAACTCCCATCTTTAATATGCATTGTGCATATAAATAAATAAATGAAACTGCATCTCACACTAACTCATCAAATACAACGAGCTGAAATAATACACTGAGCTACAATAAGCTGTAATAAAATAAGCTGTAATAACACAATAGGAAGTTATAATACACTGAGCTAAAATAATACAATAAGCTGTAATTATACAATGAGCTGTAATAATACAATAAGCTGTAATAAAATAAGCTGTAATAACACAATAAGAAGTAATAATACACTGAGCTAAAATAGTACAATAAGCTGTAATAATAAAATGAGCTGTAACAATATAATGACCTGTAATAATACAATAAGCTGTAATTATAAAATAAGCTGTAATAATACAATAAGCTGTAATTATACAATGAGCTGTAATAATATAATGACCTGTAATAGTACAATAAGCTGTAATTATAAAATAAGCTGTTATAACACAATAAGATGTAATAATACACTGAGCTAAAATAATACAATAAGCTGTAATTATACAATGAGCTGTAATAATATAATGATCTGTAATAGTACAATAAGCTGTAATTATAAAATAAGCTGTTATAACACAATAAGATGTAATAATACACTGAGCTAAAATAATACAATAAGCTGTAATTATACAATGAGCTGTAATAATATAATGACCTGTAATGGTACAATAAGCTGTAATTATAAAATAAGCTGTTATAACACAATAACATGTAATAATACACTGAGCTAAAATAATACAATAAGCTGTAATTATACAATGAGCTGTAATAGTACATTGAGCTGTAATAATGCAATGAGCTGTAATAATACAAGAAGCTGTAATAATACAACGTGCTGTAATTATACAATGAGCTGTAATAATATAATGACCTGTAATAATACAATAAGCTGTAATTATAAAATGAGCTGTAATAATATACTGACCTGTAAAATAATACAATAAGCTGTAATTATACGATGAGCTGTAATAATATAATGACCTGTAATAGTACAATAAGCTGTAATTATAAAATAAGCTGTTATAACACAATAAGATGTAATAATACACTGAGCTAAAATAATAGAATAAGCTGTAATTATACAATGAGCTGTAATAGTACATTGAGCTGTAATAATGCAATGAACTGTAATAATACAAGAAGCTGTAATAATACAATGTGCTGTAATAATATAATGACCTGTAATAATACAATAAGCTGTAATAATACAATAAGCTCTAATTATACAATGAGCTGTAATAATACAATAAGTTGTAATAATACATTGATAATAAAAACATAATAATACATTGATAATAAAAACTTAAGTATTTTGGTGATTCAAAAAAACAACAGTTCCAAAATACTCATTCACATCCCTGGTTTAAATGTATTTTATTCAAACGGTAATAGTGATAATTCCAGACCAATCACAGATACAGAACTTTTCTTTAATGGTGTCTAAATCCATCTTGTAATTAGAGTTGGATTCTCGGTATCTCTTTGCAGCTGTTGTGACATAATTAGTTTGCATAAATTATCAATAGAAACCCACTTACATGTAAAAGTAAAGTGGTTAAAAGGCTGATTACAGCATGATCAGTCAGAGAGAGGTCACCGTGGTGATAACGAACCTTTCAGCACAATTATTTCAAAAAACAACTTTTACTGATCCATTTTATCTCACGCTTAATTAAAATATTGCATTGGCTTTTACCGCATGTAATAATGTAACTATATCTGAACTCGGTGTGTGCGTCAGCGAGGCGAGGCGGGTAGAACGGGAACCTACCTGGTACACAGAGATTCTACGGGATAAAATCCATTATTGACAAGAATTAACCTCAGTTGATCTCGAGGACTTTACAGAAGAAATACTAATTAACTGATGGCTATAACATTATGATTCCAGTTGCCTTCTGGGACCCTCAAATACATTTATATAGGAAATTCAATAGGTTTTCCAGCATTTTGTTAGTTTACGTCTTGCCGTTAGCCGTAACGGTGATTTCTAGAGCAGCACAATATTGCAATTCATCCCGTTGACTAACACGTGACACCCACCGTGGCATGGTGGGGTATTCAACTTTTTGATTCCTAGAGAACGGTTGAGATTTTAGGCAAACACACCAAATAAATTAATATTATGAAAGTGACAAAAGTAATACTTTTCCAGCTCTTAAAATGGACTAGACAACGTTTTCAGCATTTTTTCTGAGTGTTCAATAATCCAGGCCCAGCGCCATCAAGATACAATATATAAAGTTACAATAATGTGAGCAATCTTATTTCGTTGTACCACTGCCCTTCTTTTTTTAACAGCAGTAAACATTGTATACTTCTGCACAGACACTAGATGTGTTTTAACATACAGGTATATATCAATCCCATTCAGTCAGGTGAGCCTGATCATTTCTAAAGAAAGGGGAGGGTGCCCACAATGACATGATTGCAAGCTCTTCAGTCCAGACATATCTAGAGATGTGGGTAAAAGAGAGGAATGCTTTCAGTTCATTGAATCTCCGATACACTCAGTATATTTATCCTCTCTCCAAGACTGGAATATTGACTTCCTGTCTCTGGGCCTCCCTCCCCCTCCCTCCATATCAAACGCACACTCAGTCACTATTTATGCTGCTGACAAACATGCAGATTCATTAGCACGTATTAATTAAGAACATATGTGGGTTTCGGTAGGGCTGCTAATGAGCCACAGTGCAGGGGCTCTGGAATTTCATCGTGCGAGGCCTGACTTCTAATGAACTTGCCATAGAGCTCAGGCCCTTATTGCCCCTCTAACAAGAGAGTCGAAAATCCTGACTGTGAAACTGGGGCAAGATAAATGTCTACCCCCAGGCAGGTAACACTGGGTGGAGAGGCAGTAAAGGTATGCATTGCTTAAAACTGGGTTCTTTGATGGACGGTGACCAGATTGTGGCCTATATATATGCCATGTTGTCCCTGAGGCATGCCTCAAACAGCCCGCGTATTACAGTGCCTTTAATGCCACCAGTGGCCCAAACAGGCTAGTGGTCAACCTGGCACCAGGCGTTCTTAAACCATTTTTCAGCCAGCGGAGCATCATAGGAAATGGCCGTACTGGTGATATAGGCATTGTTGGTGATAAGGAATGAAGGATGTATCACGGCACTGAACGGGTAGTGGCTACATGGAATGGCCTATCAGTGCTACTGTACAATAGCCATTCAGCTCAGTCTGTAATGGTTCCACAATACAAGGCGCTGGTAGCTAGGATTTCCTGGGACGAAATGAATGTTTCTAGGATTGCTGCCCGCAGAATTTGATATGATGTTGGCAGGATCCCCCCAATCACTTTTATGCTATTTTTAGTTTAATGCGAACCAGATTTTCACAGGAGAAGTTCTGGGAGAGAACAAATAATTACTATATTAGAGTTTATTGAAGCCTTTTAAAGTTTCTGCCAGTGTTTGCTGAAAAGAATGGGAGAGAGATAATTGTACAACGAAAGATTAATCTCCAAATCAAATTTACTTATTTTCAAATAGTATACGTCCTTATTCATTATACCAACACCAGTCAGTATCTGAGGACTCTGCATTCCCCAAAATACCCCCAAATTCACAACAGATGCACGAGGCGTTGGTCAATGTTACGTGGATTATTTCACGTCACACTTATTGTAAGAAAGCGGTATTTGTGCTTCTAAATTCACTAATTTTTCACCTACGTGTAGCATTGCAAAATAAGGGATCCCATATTATATCTGGAGAGTTAAATTACATCCATAAATAAAATGGTTAAACGTTACAGTTTATATAAGAGAGACAGGCAGACTTCACAAATGATTTTCTTTAACACATAAATGATATAACATAAAAGCCACAACTCATCCATCTACGCACTTACTTCAGACAATGGAAAACTAAATGTATACGTAAAACTTTCTTCTTTTCCCTGTCTCAGAACTTTCTTTCACAGAATCTGTTTTTTGCTAAAGTAACAATCAGCAATAAAAAAAAAACGAATTAAAAAACGCAGACAAAGAGATAAAGAACACACGACAGCTGCAGGCAACACCCGTTAGAGAAGAACGTTGCAGGTGCGTAATGTAGCGAGAATTCTGCGGTGTCTAGGTGTGCGCGGGGAGAGGGGGAGAGCTGGTAATTGGACCTGCATATATCATACTGAAACAGCAAAACATTGCTAATTAGAGGAGAGAGATACATGGGGCCCTTCCTAAATGTAACAGATACACAGGGTATAATTAGCGCATCGGACAATCGTCTTGGATAGTTCCTGCGTTCTGAGGGACAGGGCAGCTGCCGTCCCAGCTGGCTGGCGTTGGCATTCTCTGTGCCAGCTGCCGTGGGATTCTCACACTGCTGACACATCCCAGATATGAGGATCCTAATTAACCCTTTTGGCTGACTGAAGTGGTTTAATGACGTCCCTTTTTATCACCGTGAATGGAACATGTACTGGAGTTGTCAAACTTTTTTTTTTTTTTTTTAAATATCATTCCAATCGCAGAGTCAAATTATCCGACGGTTAGCAATACAGAGCTATTCTGGAGTAGAGAGCTTAAAAAGGATGCAATTGCCATAGAAACGGATATGTTGTCCCTGCCAATGGCTCCACATTTTGCCCAAGAATTGCTCTTTCAGAACCATAATCTTGCAAGTTGTTTTTTATCTGTGACAGTCCACCCCGGTCAAGATGACAACTGGCACAGGACTCCCAGACAACATCTCCCTAAAAGAACTATAATCACCTATGTGTCCCTTCCACGTTGTGCCTTTGCCCTACCCGACATTATGGAGTCAAATTGGTCAATCCGCTACCATCAAGGACTAGCAAGAAACTCATTCAGGCACAGCGAGCCCGATCGGCAGCTGTCTAGAAACTGCATGGAACCGTGTATCAGATGCCACAATCTGGTGAAACTTCACTTGCGCAGTACTCAGTCCCAGGGGATCATCAAACAAGGCACTATTTGGAAGAGGAATTAGGGAGGTGACAAGGCATCCAATGACACTAAGAAATCGAGAGCTTCCTGTCCGGGAGCTACAGTAAGCCAGTATCAGTGACCAGGAGTTCCAACCAAACAGCCTGGATCTCAGTGCTGAATCGAACAATAGTCGCAGCCCAGTCAAACTTCTAATGATTCCTCGCACTAGACACCTCCGATCTGGGCGCTTTTTGGACAGGTTGCCCCTAATGTTAGGGGGATAATGTAACGGACCGTTTTGCCCACAAGAGGTTAAAAACCGTTTAGGCAATATTCCCCTTTCAGATGTACAGACAGCTACTGCAATCACCAATCTCCCGAACTGCAAACTACACGAATTCTCCAACTCCCGAACAGGAAACTCACAAATACTGGAAACAGCTGAACAGGAAAAACCATACGAAAGGTTTACACTCCTGGCAGTCAGCATACAATCCAATTCCCCCAATAATGAGACGACACATCGTTTGAGGGTTAAGCAGAATCTGCCAGAGCTGTGGGTTTATTGTTCTTATGTACACATTCTTACACATTAGTACCACCCACAGGGTTTTGGAAAACAACCAATAAACATGTACAATACACTCAGACACTCCCACACAAAATCCTCCCCTCTGCCTGTGATACAATTACCTTACACAATGGGTAATGCAATTATCACAGCCAGAGAAATACAGTTTTTCCACCTTATTCATAACTTGAAAAGTATGCATCACATTCACATAACATTTTCAGAATCAGCATACTCCAAATACAAACATATGTCAAATTCATACAAATTGGTCCAATGGTTCAAAAGATAGATCGTAGTCCTTTGTGACCACAGGAAGCATGGCTTTTCTGCCCAAAACCAGTTCCACAGAGTCTTCTATCCTGGAGATAATTGGGAAGTAATCCAATTATCTCCAAGGACAGAGGCAAAACTCCATTGAACACATGGCAGCAAAAGACAATAAAACACATAAAAACAATAACTGTGCAGCCATTGCACAAAACAGGTACATTCAACATATCCCCAGATAGCTCAGATCTGAGCGCACATTATTACTGAATGGCGCTCAGAGCACACACATACAGTTCAATTGCCATGGAGCCAAAGTCTTTCCCATAGTCTTTCATTATACGAATGGGCTCCATGGCATAGCTATCTGGGGTATCACCGCTCAAACAGGGAAAGCACCGAATGACCCGGCTTTCGTGTCTTCGCAGGGGAAAATCAAGCGTTTCAACATGGGGCCATAGTCTAAAGGCAGCAGGCAGGCAACCAGGCTTCTTCAGTGCATAGTGGCGAGGTTGGTTCCGCCACAGATAACATGGGGAAAGTATATTATTTCGGGGATACTGTTGTAAGGAGTACTAGTGTCTGTTAGTTAATGAAAGAGATACTCAGGCTGACTCATCGACTCCTATGGATCATCAATGGGTTAACTATGACATCAATGGTACTTTTAAAGGACCACTATAGTGCCAGGAAAACATACTCGTTTTCCTGGCACTATAGTGCCCTGAGGGTGCCCCCACCCTCAGGGACCCCCTCCCGCCCGGCTCTGGAAGGGGAAAGGGGTTTAAACGTACCTTTTTCCAGCACTGGGTGGGGAGCTCTCCTCCTTCTCTCCTCCTCCGTTCCGCCCGTCGGCTGAATCGCGAGCAGCGGCAAGAGCTCGCATTCAGCGGTCGAGGAAAGCATTCATAATGCTTTCCTATGGGCCGTGCGTCTCTCACTGTGAAAATCACGGTGAGAAACGCAAGCGCCTCTAGTGGCTGCCAATGAGACAGCCACTAGAGGCTTTGGGGGAAGGCTTAACCCATTAATAAACATAGCAGTTTCTCTGAAACTGCTATGTTTATAAAAAAAATGGGTTAACCCTAGCTGGACCAGGCACCCAGACCACTTCATTAAGCTGAAGTGGTCTGGGTGCCTAGAGTGGTCCTTTATTAAAATACACAGCCATGGCAGGTTTATCTTTAGGAGAAACAAAGTAAATTTCTTTATTTATCTTTAAATGATAATAGAAATAAGTTACTGGCAGGTCAGTTAGATAAGTTAATTGTTGAAATATTTAATATGGATAGTTAGGGAGCTAAATGCAGCCGTACACACCCACATACTGACCTATGACACCAGCTAAACTGGTTTAAATAAATTTTCTTACTGTAATAGAAAACTGAGCTTCCCCAAATGGAGGGAAGTGGGGGTGCTGGGGGGGGGGGAGGGATAAACACTCATCATTGGGTTTCGGTAAACTCACATAAACATTACAAATCTGGGGGAATATGATACCCAATGGAATTTTATCAGTCATCGAGTTCATGGTCAAATCTTTGTTGAATTCCCACAGCTTTTATTTATAGAATAAACAGTTAATGAGTGCAGGCCTGTGGCACCGGGGTCCATTGCTACAAGCAGACTGGTAGGAAGGTAACTGGAAGGGTGTCAGTTCAGTGCCTAATATCCCCACCATCAGGAAATGGCCTGCTGAGCTTACAATCATAACAGGCTGTTGGTCACAGCTAGTGGTTATTGGTGATAAAGGTTTAATAATGTATAATTTGTGCACTATAATTGGGCCAGTTATTTAATTACATTTTAAAACAGTTGAATGTTCAGAGCTCTCATCACTAAGTCAGGATCTGATTCAGGGAATGTAATTACACTATAAATACAATAGATCTATTAAATGCTACCTTCTATAACATGTCCCTACAAACATTTAAAAACATGTACAGGGTTACTCTAAAAATTGTGAATGCTCGGAAACTCAAAGTGAAGTTAAACTGGAAAAAAATCTCCAATTGAGCGAATATTTAATTTTGGCTAATAGCTACAATTTCAATACCATTACACAGCCCAGCGTATCATTACACTGCCCGGCGTATCATTACAAGACCCAGCTTACCGTTAGCGCTAGGGATGCACCGAAATGAAAATTCTGGGCCGAAACCGAAAATTCAGGATGCCCTTGGCCGAAAACCTAAACCCAAATAATTCTAAAAAGAAAAAAAATTAGACTTAATTAATGTAATTAATCTAATATAAACAACTTCCCTTCTCTTTTAGTGATTCCCCTCGCTTAATATTCCTCTCTCCCCCCTCTAGTGTTCCTCTCCCCTACCTCTTTTTTAGTGTTCTTTCCTCCCTCCTCCCCAGTCCCAAAATGTCCCCCCCCCTGTCCCATAGTGTTCCTTTCTCCTCCCTTCCCTGTCCCATAGTGTTCTTTTCTCCCCTCCCCGGTCCCATAGTGATCTTTTCTCCCCCCCTCCCCTGTCCCATGGTGTTCTTTCTCCCCCCTCCCCTGTCCCACAGTGTTCTTTCTCCCCCCCCTCCCTGTCCCACAGTGTTCTTTTCTCCCCACCCCTGTACCATAGTGTTCTTTCCCCTCCCCTGTCCCATAGTGTTCTCCCACCTACCCTGTCCCATAGTGTTCTTTTCCCCTCCCCTGTCCCATAGTGTTCTCTCCCCCCTCCCCTGTCCCATAGTGTTCTTTCCCCCCTCCACTGTACCAAGTGCAGTATTCTTGACTTTTCATGTTATCATTACTGTTATAGCTCCCCCGGTAGGAGAGGGGTTACTGCCGTATAGGACGTTCCCTTACCGAATGCAGAGGTAGCTACTGAGCGCTCCAAACTGCCGAACTGCAATCACACGAACCCGTTGGTCTCCAAAAACATCTGAACAACGATCACACAAATCAATCAGTCTCTCAAATAGTCGAGACAAAGCTCCGTATTGAGGGTCAGCAGGAATCTGTTTTACTGAGGGCTACCTGCCCGGTATTTATGCAGGTCTCCCATCTGGTGGACATTCCCCTAGGGGACCAGATGGGAGACTGTGACAAGGACATTACAACAACCAATCACAGTCTTACACATGTAGCCATGCCCCTTTAATTATCCAAGACCCTCTACTCTGCCCGGGAGATAATTGTGAAGTAATTCAATTATCTCCCTGGACAGAGACCAAACGCCATTTTAAATTACTGTGACAAAATGCACAAAACGATATAAATTTACAATAACTGGACATAATACAGGCATTCAACGTGTCCCTAGATAGCTGGGATCTGAGCGCACAAAAGTACCGAATAGCGCTCAGATCCTATGCACACAGTCCAATCGCCGTGGAGTCAAAGTGTTCACAAAGTCTGTTCTCCATATGAATAGACTCCACGGGATGGCTATCTGGGGTATGGCTTATTTGTGGACAAAATACAGAATACAGGGATTTTCAGGAGTTCTCTACCGAAGGAGAAGGGAGGTCGGCGGCTTCAGCGGTGTTCCGGCCAAAAAGTGTCCGTTTTGAGTTCCATGGGTTTACCGTCGAACACCGCTGAGCATTCGCGGATTTAAAATGGCAGCGACCTTGTGTTCGGGATACGAATGGCGGCCACCCAGCTACAGGCATCAATTAAAAAGTGTCTGCGGTTAACCTCAACGTTCGAAAAGGGCCAAGAGGTTAACCAGCAGCACACTTCTCTACTGGGTGGCTGGCCGTTCGGAAGTTTTATTCGGTAGTAAAAAAGGGAATGGTAAAGAGTCCACATGAACGGGAAAACATGAATTAAACCAGCGAATGAACGATAAGTCTCTGTAAGTTCACAATTACTATCTTTCATTGTGATATATAATTATACTAATTGTTAATGCAAGCATGTCTGTTAAACTATGCACTACAAAAAGAAAAAATATATAAAAAAAGAAAAATAATAATAAAAAAAATTTTGTTTACATTTCAGCAAATTTAACCAGTTTTCGTCCGAAACGGGATAGGCCGATTTTCGGCTGAAAATTTCGGCAGCCAAATTTCGGGGAATCCCTAATTAGCGCAGTGTTCATGTTAAAGCAGTAGTCATGTTCTGAGTGTAATATAAAATGTTATCAAACTATGACTGGAATATAAAAGGTTTGAGTTATGGGTTAATTTCTTTGTGATGGAGGAGTTGCATGGAATGAGCTCAGGCAAACAGCTGTATTTAGAAGCTGCCACTGACCCCGCTTTTTGGA